TATATATATATATATATATATATTTAGAAACTATATAATAAATATTATAAATCTCTATAGTTAACAACTAAAGTATCTTAAAAGTATTTGAAAAAATCATGGCTAAAAATAATTCTACTTATTTCACATAAATTGAGATAAAGGGGGTAATATATTAATTTACCCAGGATATGCAGCTCCACATTTGTAACAAAAGTCACAGCCACACCTGCAAATATGAAAATAATGATGCATCCGAATTTGGCTACAAAAACAAAGAGATAAAATCTTGCACTAAACCATGTAGCCAATGGGTGGAATTGAAGTATCCAATTAGCATTAAAAAAAGAACAATAACAGTGAAGATTTTGTGAGAATTGAAAACATACAAATTTTACATCACAAATTGAAAAAACATGAAAATCACGTGGACAAACTAACCTGCAATTCATATGATTACAGCCATTAAACCTTAATTGCAACATAAAGATCTCTATATAGGGGGCTAAATGTGTATACTTTAACAAGAAATCAAATTCTTAAAAATTTATACTTTGTAATTAAGTAAATAATTATTTCAGCATACAAGAAAATTTAATTTTCAGGTGTTATTTATATTAGCATTCGAGCCAGAGGCGGATCTATGTTGTAACGAGAGGGGGCCATCGACACTCGAAAAGTTAAGTAAAAATTCCATGTATATATGTATATATCTTTAGAAAATAGTATATGAAATAGTAGTAGTACTAAATATACAAAGTAGATTTTGGTTGAATGTAAAAGTGCATCTGCTACCTTCAAATTCTGGGTCCCCTCCTTTTGGTCTCTAGATTTAATGTCCTTATAAATTATTTCAAAGCCATTCTTGAATTCCTCAAGAATTTAAGGTGCAGTATTTACACTAAAAACTTCTAACCTCTAAACCAGAACCAAACTAATCCCTACTCACCTTCCGCAAATAATATATATCAGGTAACTTTGTCTATTAATGTTTGAACAAATATGGAAAAATTACCTAATATTTTACAATTGAAAACATGAAAATCATATGGATTAATTAACCTGCACTCCATATGGAACATACAAACTAATACTTATTCAATTTAGTTTTTTTTTTTATAGTCGTGGTGTCTGAGTATCCGATGGCGGAGCTAGGAGGAGAAAAGTCGCAGAGCTAGGGGGCGGAAGGTTTCGAATTCCTTCGCCTAAAAATTATATTATATATGCCGAATTTTCTTAGCTTCTCTCTATGTTTAATTTTTATATTTTAGAACTACCTTGGTAAAATACCTGCTACCTTTCACAAGTAACATGTATGAGGTAACTCTTTTCGTCAAGATTTGAATAGATGAGAAGAAATCACCTAATATTTTAAATCACAAATTGATTATATAGATCTAATATAGCCCGTGAAGTAGAAGCAGAAAATTAATTTTTTCGAGACTGAACTAACTAACCTGCACTTCATATTGTTACAACCTTTATTCCTTGCAACATAAATCCTACAACTTGGACATCTCTGCCATTTTCTGTGCTTCGCAAGTTTCATAAGCTGTATCTCCTCTTTTTCCTTTTCATCTTTGTTTGATTTTTGAAATTCTTCACACATAATCCCTAAATGCCAAGCAACTTTACACTTAGCACAAAACAACCTTTTACATTCTGGGCATTCTGATTGAGTAATAGCAAAATTTCCACCTCTACATTCATCAATCAAAAGCACAGAACAATCCTTAAACGGACAATAAAATTTCTCAAACCCTAAAATCAATTTCTCACATAACGCGTCGCCCCATCTATCAAATACTTCTTTAGGCAAAATTGAACGACAATAATATGGCTCTAATACCCCGTTACACCCCGGAACGGGGCATGAAATTGTAGAGACATTCTCTTGTAATTTCGAGGCTACGTACTTAGCCATACATTGTTTGCAATAAAAATGTGTGCACCCCATTATTTTGAACATGTCGTTCGTTGACTTTTTGTCAACACAAATATCACACGTAAAAATGTCATTACCGTCATCATCTATAACAATACACTTCGAATCTAAACCCCTCCTTGTTTTTTTCGGTCTAAAGGATGAAAATTGAGAACCCAAAAACTGAATTTCATCATCTGAATATTCTTTGGATAGATCAATAAAGATCTTTTTAGTTCCACTGCTGCTAGGTTTTGAACAAAAAGATGATATAATCTCAAACTTCAACGTCTCTTTTCCCTAAGTATTTTTCACTAATCTTGATTCCTTTACCCTTTGAAGTATTTAGGGTTTCATATGTTAATGAAATATCATCATTCTCATCTTCAATATATATTATCTTTACTGACGAAGTATTTGCCACTTCCATTACGTAGTTAAGCAGCAAAACTAAACCTTAGTTTTTTTGTTTTTTTTTT